CCTTTGCAGGGGGAGATGTGCTCTTATTTTTTGAATTTCCAGCTTTTCTGCCCTGCTTTTTCCCCATCTTTGTGGTTTTATCTGCCTCTGGTCTTTGATGATGGTGACGTACTGATGGGGTTTTGGTGTGGGTGTCCTTCCTGTTTGTTAGTTTTCCTTCTAACAGTCAGGACCTTCAGCTGTAGGTCTGTTGGAGATTGTTTGAGGTCCACTCCAGACCCTGTTTGCCCGGATATCAGCAGCAGAGTCTGCAGAAGATAGAATATTGCTGAACAGTGAGTGTACCTGTCTGATTCTTGCTTTGGAAGCTTCCTCTCAGGGGTGTACTCCACCGTGTGAGGTGTGGGGTGTCGGTCTGCCCCTAGTGGGGGATGTCTCCCAGTTAGGCTACTCAGGGGTCAGGGGCCCACTTGAGCAGGCAGTCTGTCCGTTCTCAGATCTCAACCTCCGTGTTGGGAGATCCACTGCTCTCTTCAAAGCTGTCAGACAGAGTCGTTTCGTCTGCAGAGGTTTCTGCTGCTTTTATTGTTGTTGTTGTTGTTGTTTAGCTGTGCCCTGTCCCCAGAGGTGGAGTCTACAGAGACTGGCAGGCCTCCTTGAGCTGCTGTGAGCTCCACCCAGTTCAAGCTTCCCAGTGGCTTTGTTTACCTACTTAAGCCTCAGCAATGGCTGGCGCCCCTCCCCCAGCCTCACTGCTGCCTTGCAGTTAGATCGCAGACTGCTGTGCTAGCAATGAGGGAGGCTCCCAGGGCGTGGGACCCTCCTGGTCAAGTGTGGGATATAGTCTCCTGGTATGCCCGTTTGCTAAGACCCTTGGTAAAGCACAGTATTGGGGTGGGAGTTACCCAATTTTCCAGGTGTTGTGTGTCTCAGTTCCCCTGGCTAGGAAAAGGGATTCCCTTCCCCCTTGCGCTTCCCAGGTGAGGCGATGCCTCGCCCTGCTTCAGCTCTCGCTGGTCGGGCTGCAGCAGCTGACCTACACCGATTGTCCGGCAATCCCTAGTGAGATGAACCCAGTACCTCGGTTGAAAATGCCGAAATCACCTGTCTTCTGTGTGCTCGTGCTGGGAGCTGGAGACTGGAGCTGTTCCTATTCGGCCATCTTGCTCCGCCCCCTTGTTTTGTTTTTAAAGACAGGGTCTCACTATGTTGCCCAGGCTGGTCTCAAACTCCTGGGCTCAAGTGATCCTCCTATCTCGGACTACGAAAGTGCTGGGATTACAGGTGTGAGTCACTGCACCTGGCCTTTTTATTTATTTTTTATTGTCTGACTGCACTGGTTAGAACTGTTAGGACTATGTTGAGTTGAAAAGGTGAGAGGGGACATTCTTGCCTTGTTCCTAATTTTAGGGAGAAAGTGTTCAGTCTTCCACCATAAAGTATGATGTTTACTGTAGGTTTTTTTTTAATAGATGTCCTTTACTAGATTGAAGAAGTACCCTTCTATTTCAAGTTTGTTAAGAGCTTTTAGCATGAATAGTGGTGGGATTTTATCAAATATGTTTTTTCTGAGTCTACTAAGATGACTGTGTGGTTTTATGCCCTTTATTTTAATATGATGTATTACATTAATTGATTTTCAGATCTCTTTTTTTTTTTTTCCTTTTTCCGAGAAGGAGTCTTGCTCTGTTGCCCAGGCTGGAGTACAGTGGCATGATCTTGGCTCACTGCAACCTCCACCTCCCGGATTCAAGCAATTCTCCTGTCTCAGCCTCCCAAGTAGCTGGGACTACAGGCATACGCTACCATGCCTGGCTTATTTTTTTATTTTTAGTAGAGATGGGGTTTCACCATATTGGTCACGCTCGTCTTGAACTCCTGACCCCAGGTGATCCACCCACCTCAGCCTCCCAAAGCGCTGGGGTCATAGGCATGAGCTTGGCTGATTTTCAGATCTTAAACCAACCTTGCTTTCCTAAGATAAATGCCATTTGGTTATGGTGCATAATCTTTTTGATATATTGTTTAAATCAATCCTCTAATATTTTGTTGAGGACTTTAGCATTCATAATGATGTATAACCTTGTGTTTGGCTTTGGTATCAGGGTGATACTGGCCTCATAGGAGTTGGGAAGTGTTCCGTCCTTCTCTATTGTCTAGAAAAGCTTATGTAATATTGGTATCATTTTGTCTTTAAATATTTGATAAAATTCACCAGAGAAGCCAAATGGTCTGGTCTTTTTTCTTTGATGGGGAGATTTTTAATTACTAATTTATTTCCTTATTATATAGATCTATTTAGATTCTCTGTATCTTCTTGAGTCCATTTTGAAAATTGTAAACTTCTAGAAATGCATCAAATTTATTGGAATTTGTTTTAAAATACTCTACTCCTCCCTCCAAAAATCAGCAGGGGAAGGGTAAGATAGATAAAACTATATTTGCAAAAATGTTGGTAATTGTTGATGCTGGGTGATGATTACATGGGGATTTACTTTACTATTCTCTGTAATTTTCTATATATTTTAAATTTTCTGATAAGAGGTTTAAAAAAGTAAATTGTATTGCTATGGAATAGTAACAATTAGAAAATTCCAATTTAATCAAGATACCATTTATGATAAACTCACCTCATATGCTAGAGGAATATATATTATTCTATGTATTTTTATATAGCAATCATGTGATATGTGCCAATTATATACGTACCTATATATTTTTGATATATATCACATAAAATTTATATGAAAGCAAAGCTTCAAGAATACTCAAGATATTCTTGAAAAAGAACAAAGTGTAAAAAAAAGAAATTGTGCTAGCAGATATCAAGGCTTATTATAAAGCATGATAATAAAAACATGCTGTATACATGCAAACATAGGCAAATGATCCAGTGGAACAGAAGAGAAAGCACAGCAGATCAGTAGGAAAAGGATGGACTATTTAATAAATTGTACTGGGATGCAGAGAATAGAGACAGAGGATCAGATAGGGACATCTAGGGTAACCTACATATTCTATTTCTTAACCTAAAAACTAGATTCATAGGTTTTATTCTTTTTCTTCTTTTTGAACATTTTTATGATGAAAATATCAAAAAAGTCTCAAACGCAGAAAAAACATGAATACAATAAACACGTATAAAACTATCACTCAGATTTAACAGCTGTTAACATTTTACTGTATATGCTTCATTACAAGTGAAACATTTTAAATTATAAATATCAAGATACTTAGCCATTCCACAGAGGATTTCGGTATGCATTTAAAAATAAGGCCATTTTCCCACTTCATCACAGTAACATTTTCATAGCTAACAAAATTAATGGTAATTCCTTAACTTTTTATCTTGGAATTTTCAAAACTGCAAAAGCTGAAAAAATAGTACAATGAACACCTATATACCCTGACCTAGATTCATCAATTAATATCCTGCTACATTTGATTTCTTCCCCAACTTCCATGTATGTATGTGTGCATGAGTGTATACACACACATGCACACATACATACACACACACCCCTTCCCCTCCTTTTGGCTAAACCATGTTAAAGTAAGTTGCTGTGGACATCACCATGCGTTTCCTAAGAATAAGGATATCCTCTTAAAGTTTACATCTTTCTACACGTATATTAACACATGTATTGTGTTTATTAATGTACATAACATATATAATACAACATACTAGTACACATTATATATTATGTATATATTATTAATGTACATTAATATTGATATACATTGATAATACACACAACACATTAATACATATATATTCATATGATATATAAATGAAACAAAAAAGTAGTAAAAATATTAAAGAATTCTTTTATGACCTTAAAGCCATATGTAGTTGATATTCAACTACATAAAATGGAGCAAACAAAAAATTTCTGAACAGGAGAAACTACCATAAGCAAAGTCAAAAGATAACTAATTATTGAATGTGCATATGTATATAGAATATATAATCAGAGTTCATAAAAAATGAAATACAAGTAATTTTTAAAATATCAAAAGAGCGCCAGGCATGGTAGCTCATGCCTATAATCTCAGCACTTTGGGAGGCTAAGATAGAGGGATTGCTTGAGGCCAGGAGTTCAAGACTAGCCTGGGCAACATAGTGAGACCTCATCTCAACAAAAAATAAAAAGTTAGCCAGACTTAGTGGCATGTGCCTATTGTCCTAGCTCTTCAAAGGCTGAGGTGAGAGGACCAGTTGAGTCCAGGAGGGTGAGGCTGTAATGAGTTATTATTATGCTACTGGACTCCAGCCTGGGTGACAAAGAGAAAAGATATGCAACTAATTTTTCATAAAAGGAATACAAATTAATGCTATACTGTATTACCTCAGATTGACAAATACAAAAGTTTAGTAATACACTGTGTTAGCACAGTTTCAGTATGGTAATACACACATATTTGTGGTGGAAGTGTGAATTGACAGAAACACCATGGAGGGTAATTTGGCAATTCATAAAAATCACACATGCATATATTCTTTTGTGCTATGTGTAGTTGGTGAAACAATTCCACTTGTAGGAATCTCTTCTACAGTTATACTTGCACATATAGAAAGTTATAAAATACAAGGTTATTCCCTACTTTACTAGTAATGTTTGTAAAAATAAAAGACTACAAATGACATATATTTATCTATAAACTTTTTGGCTGGTTCAATAAATTACATTATATCCACACACACAGGCATACAAAGAATGAAGATCTTTAATTACCTATACAGAAAGAGCTCCAAGTTATATTAACTGAAAAAAAAAATCCAAATACCAACACAATTTCTCCCATTGGGGTTAAACAAAAGAAAGGTGAAGAGGAACATGTACATTATTTTGGTTTTATATGCCTATTATATGCATGTGAAATAGAAACCTGGATGGTAGGAGCAACAGAATAGAAGGGAGATTATTCCATACTCTTTTGTAGTTTAAAAATAATATATATTGAAATATTAAATAAAAATGACATTCAAATGATTTTCTTTGAAACAGAAAGTTAAAAGGTCATTAAATTACACATATCAAAAGAAACAGGAAACATACCTTTGTGGCTTCCATTATAATTTTGTTAATTTTCTCTTTATCTAATCCTTCCATTCCTGCTTTATTATCATTAAGTCCCATCCTAAGCAGAAGATCATCTTTGTAACTGTCACACTTCTCCTTTATCTTATCCATGGTATAAACTTATCTGAAAAAGTATAAAGATAAACACTGCTTTTAAAACCATCTGTGGCCAGGTGTGGTGGCTCATGCCTGTAATCCGACCACTAGGGAGGCTGAGGCAGAAGAATTGCTTGAATCCAGGAGGCAGAGGTTGCAGTGAGCCGAGATTGCACTACTGCACTCCAGCTTGGGCGACAGAGCGAGACTCTGTCTCCAAAAAACAAACAAAAAAACAGAAAAAAACTCCAAAAAACATGTGGGGGGTAGGGGGACAGGAGCACCACATACATCCATTATGCATCAATAAAAAAGTTTTTAAAACATTAAATGGTATAGAAATCAGCAAAACAAAATTTTTAAATGACATTAAGAATTTTTAGCTACTAAAAATTATTACTCAGACTTTAAAAATTACAGTTGACTCTTAGACAACACGGGTTTGAACTGAGAGGATCCACTTATATTTGAATTTCTTCTGCCTCTGCCACCCTTAAGACAGAAGGACCAACTCCATTGCTTTCTCTTCCTTAGTTTATTCAACATGAAGACAATGAGGATGATCTTTATGATCTACTTCCACTTAATGAATAATAAATATATTCTGTCTCATTTATGATTTTCTTGATAACATTTTCCTTTCTCTGGCTTTCTTTATTGTAAAAATAGAGTACAGAACAAATATAACATACAAAATACATATTAATCAACTGCATACCTTATTAGTAAGGCTTCCAGTTAACAATAGGCTATTAGTAGTTATGTTCTTCAGGAGTCGAAAATTATATGTGAATTTTTGATTGTGCGTGGGCAGGGTCCCTAGCTCCTGTGGTGTTCAAGGGTCATCTGTATTATCACAAGATTATGATATTCTTGGAGAGAAGAAAGGAATTAGCATTTTCTGCATGCTCCATTCTAGCTACTATGCTTAGGGCACTATATGCGAGGGTCATAACAGCCCTGAAAGATAGGTACTATTCTCCATACAAAAAGATAACAAACCTGAGTCTTAGAACATGTCTATTGATAAATTTGTTAACAAGTGGCAACACATGTGTTGGAACCCAGGCATGAGTACAAAACTTATGTTTCTACCCAGATTAAAACATGTTATAGAAATACAAAATAATACTTCCTCTACTACACATGTTAAGTTCAACTGCATTTATTATCTACTATATGCAGATCTCCTTCTTAAGGCAATGAAAAAACACAGAAAAAAAAACTAGAAAGTTAAGTCACCTCTAAGGTTAAGAAAAATCCTTTCAAATAATACATCTTTAATATCTTTACATACTTTATAGTTTACCTTCACATACCTTAGCTTTTAAAGATATTTACAACCATGCAAAACAGATCTGATTATTTTCATATCAGTGAGAAAAAAATGAGAACTTCAGCAGGATTGAATGAATTGCCATCATAACTGTTAATAAGTGGAAGAATCGGGAGTTGAATGCAAGCCTTCTTACTTCAACTCTGATGCACTCCATGACATTACAGTTGCCTCCGATTTGGGGATCATGTATACTATAAATAAGTGGCCAGGTGAACAGTTGTCATGAATCTAAAATAAATTACAATTGTGACTTATTTGCATGATTTAGAGAGGGCGCCAATTTACTCTACTCTGCCTTGAGGATCTTCCCTTAACAATGTTGCTTCTTTTTTTGGCACTGGCAAATAATAAAAAGAATTTTGGAAGGGACTCTGAGTACTGTGCCTATTAGTGGTAGTTCCACTAGGAAAAAAAGTATACATCATGGTAGTTCTCAAACTTTGCTGCACATTAGGCCCACCTGGAGAGCTGTGACGCCAATGGTCCTCCCATACCAAAAAAATCAGAAGGTCTGGGAGTAGTAGCCAGATAGGAGTATTTTAAAGAGATGCCCAGGTAATTTCAATGTGTCCCAAAGCATAGGAACCACTGGTACAGATGTTGTTTCGTAGTGCCCAGGGGGAATATAGGTTGGTTTTTTTTTTAATCATTTGAATTTTTTCCCTTCAACTAGCACATTGAGCTAATATTACTCTACATTTTGCTTTACACTTCATTAATCCAATTACTTGTCAGTTTCTAGTAAAGCAGGTGAATGTAATTCAGTCACAATTTCACCATACCTTCACTACTAGAGAGTGAAATGGCTAAATGCAAACATCCTACATTTAAGCTGTCTTGCCCATATGTTTCTGGGTTTGTCATTGTTGTTATTCACATTCACATTCATTCATTCATTCATTCATTCATTCATTCATTCATTCATTCAGAGATGAAGTCTCACTCTGTCACCCAGGCTGGAGTGCAGTGGTGTGATCTCAGATCACTGCAACCTCCACCTCCTAGGTTCCAGTGTTTCTCTGCCTCAGCCTCCCAAGAAGCTTGAACTACAGGTGCACACCACCACGCCTGGTTAATTTTTGTATTTTTAGTAAAGATGGGGTTTCGTCATGTTAGCCAGGCTGGTCTCGAACTACTCAAGTGATCCGTCTGCCCCAGTCTCTCAAAGAGCTGGGATTACAGGCCTGAGCCACTGCACCTGGCTGTTGTTTTTTTAGAGACAGGGGTGGGTTGCCCAGGCTGGACTTGAATTCCTGGGCTCAAGAGATCCTCTCTCATCAGCCTCCCAAATAGCTGAGACTGAAGGCACATGCCACAACTCCTGGCTGCCTTGCCCTTTAAATGATGAAATGTATAAATGGAAAAGAAATATTATTGAATGCCTACTCTTTACATATGATATATTAATTGCTTAGCCAAAAAACTCTTGAGGAGAGACCGGGTGCAGCATCTCATGACTGTAATCTTAGCATTTTGTGAGGCCAAGGCAGGACGACTGGTTAAGCCCAGGAGTTCAACACCAGCCCTGGTAACACAGTGAGACTCCATGTCTACAAAAATAAAAGTAAAAAATTAGCCAGGTGTAGTGATGTGCACCTGTAGTCCAAGCTACTTGGAAGGCTGAGTTTGGAGTTTCACTTGAGTGTGGGAAGTCAAGGCTACAGTAAGCCATAGTCATGCCACTGCACTTCAGCCAGGGCAACAGAGCAGGAAACTGCCTCAAAAAAACCAAACCAAACAAAAAAACAAAAAAAACCTCTAAGAGTTGGTTTTGGTGCTTGAGTCAAAAGAACTGGACTATGGGCAATCCTGGGACAAGGCAAAATTGTGAGATAGGTAGAGTTAGTTTTTTGCTACCTTCCTGCTTATTGATACCTAATTATCATGAAACTTTTGTCCAGTTTCATAGGCATATGTTGACTATCATCCACATGCCAATGACTTACAGGTTTATAGCACCAGTCCAAATACCTGTTTGACATTTCAAGTTTAACATGTCCAAAAGTAATCTTTTCATCTGCCTCCATCCCCTCCAACCAGCTCCATTTACAGCCTTCCTGGTATCCACTGAGGGCAACTCTAATCTATTCCAGTTGCTCATGTAAATAACCCAGGAGTCATCCTTGACCCCTCTCTTTCTCATACACCCACATCCAAACTATCAGGAAATCCTGTGAGCTCTGCTTTCAAAATCACCCTGAATTTATTCAGGTTACTAGTTAAAAATATAAGGCACAGCTGGGAGCAGTGACTCATGCCTATAATCCCAGCACTTTGGAAGGCTGAGGTGGGTGGATCACCTGAAGTCAGGAGTTTGAGACCAGCCTGGCCAACATGGTGAAACCCTCTCTACTAAAAATACAAAATTAGCTGGGTATGGTGGCACATGCCTGTAGTCCCATCTACTCAGGAGGCTGAGACAGGAGAACTGCTTGAACCTGGGAGGCAGAGGCTTCTGTGGGCCAAGACTACACCACTGCACTCCAGCCTGGGTCAGACAGAGCAAGACTCCATCTCAAAAATAAATAAATAAATACATAAGTAAATAAACAAATAAATAAGGCTGGGCGCAGTGGCTCACGCCTGTAATCCCAGCACTTTGGGAGGCCGAGGTGGGTGGATCACCTGAGGTCAGGAGTTCAAGACCAGCCTGGCCAACATAGAGAAACCCCACGTCTACTAAAAATACAAACATTAGCTGGGTGTGGTGGTGCACACCTGTAGTCCCAGCTACTAGGTAGGCTGGGGCAGGAGAATCCCTGGAGCCTGGGAGGCAGAGGTTGCAGTGAACTGAGATTATGCCACTGTACTCCAGCCTGGGCCACAGAGCGAGACTCTCTCTCTCAAAAAAAAAAAAAAAAAGGAATGAAACAAAGAAGAACAAGGTCAGGGGTTCGCGACCAGCCTGGCCAATATGGTGAATCCCTTTCTTTACTAAAAACATAAAAATTAGCTGGGTGCAGTGGCAGGTACCCGTAATCCCAGCTACCTGGGAGGCTGAGGCAGAAGTGCTTGAAACCAGGAAGCGGCAGTTGCAGTGAGCCAGGTTGTAGTGAGCCAAGATCACATCACTGCACTGTAGCCTGGGCAACAGAGTAAGACTCTATCTCAGAAAAAAAAAAAAATACACACACACACACACACACACACACACACACACAAGGCAAACTTTTGCTTTTCGTAGTAATAAAGATGGAAACTTAGAATTTTTAAGAAGAAATTCTAAGGAAAAAGTTTTAGTGTGGTAGGGTTCCTTCCCAACTGTAAGAAGTAAACGAAGCTATATAAAAAATATCACACTGTGATAAAAGTCATCTGGAATTAATCTACCAGAAAATATGCAAAATATACCAAAAGTAGTAAGAGAGAAGGGGAGGAGAAAGGCGATGGGGGAAAGGGAGGTGGGGGGGAGAGAGAGAGAGAGAGAAACAGAGAGAGAGAGAGAGGAATATGGAAAGCTAAACTAGAGTAAGTTCCTAGGTGGAGCTTGTTTCCTATTTCTAATATACTGTAAATAACCAAATGTAATAATTTCCTCAGAAAACCTTTATATACCTTAAGGACATATACTATTTTAAATCTCCCAAATATTCAAGTATTTAATACTTTGAACAGATCAAGCACCCAGCACAAAATTTCAGACTGTGATTAAATGTTCATGTTATTCTCTATAAATTTAAATACAATGA